AAATCAAAGAGAAATATATCCTTTTTAAATTTTAATGCTTAAATTTTCTTATTTTTCTTATTAAGCAAATCTATGGTCATAAGTTTTTCAAAAGTTCTTTTGTAAGTGTCTAGCTGATTGACAGTCCTAAGAAAAAGTAGACAACCAATTCTGGCACATATGACAGTTATCATCCCTACCTACTGACTTTTACTCCATCCTAAGTCCCCAGGGCAAAAAACCCACAAGAACCTAAAGACCTCTCAAGAAACCAAAGTCAACCCTGCTGCAGAGGCAGACTATTATAGTTTTCTCTCCTATGAGGTTATTTAAACCTCCAAGTATATATTTTGATAAAGAAAAATTTTGTACTAAATATAAGTATCACTTTCTTTCATTTATTGCAAGTGACATTCCTTCTTATTGCTATACAGTCAAGCTTTTTAAAGCCCTCCTTTACTATAAGCATTTAATAACTACTGCAGAAAATCAGAAAACTAAGAATTAAAGACTGTAATTAAGGTTTTATACAATTTGATTATGACATTTTTGATAAATGGAGAAGACACCATGAAAGATGAACAAATGATTTGGGCCATAATAGTTACCAATTCCTAGTAACTAATTCATTCAGAATCTATTCTCTCAAATTTATTGAACCTTAAACAAGAAGAATAATGTTTAGATGGGATGCTGTTTAAACCATAAGATTGAATTTTTAAGTACACTTTAAAAGCAAATTTTAGGACAAAGACACTCAAAATTTAGGTGCCAATCAGCCCTAATTCCAAGATGACTTTGGAAGTGGCATTGTGGAATTGTTATGTTTATGTCACAGGACTACATAAAGAGCCATTCTGGGCTTCTCCTTATTGCCATTTTAAAGAAATTGAAATAAGAGGGGCTACCTAAAAAGAAAAAAATAGAAACAAAACTAATTCTACCTATTAAGACTATTTCTTATTATTTTTCCAAGTTTACCCTCCTTTTTATATCCTCTAGCTATAGAATATTGATAAAGGTCATGAGCAGCCAATAGACATTTAGACATTGTTTTATTTTTTATTGTTTTATCAAAATATTTGTATGTTATAAATATCAAAGATGCTATAATATAAAAATATGTTTTATAATATAAGTAAAAACAGTTTCTATTTTAATAGTTTAGCCAAGTTTTTCATTACAAAGCAATCATCTTACTGACATTTACATTTATGTTTTTAAATTACCAGTAAAGGATTTTAAGTCTCTTAAAGGTAAATCATATTACTGGTAAATAAATGATAACTAATTATATTGTGGGAAATATTACATTTTTAGTAAATCCTATTACTACAGTGCTAAGTATTACTATTATTAGTGTTACAAACAAAGTTTATATCAAAACTACACAAAAACATTTTAGTGGTACTACCCTAGAAATTAATTTGATTCTATATATCATATTGTAGCAGTTTTCTAAAGTAATAAGAGAAGTTTTGCAAAGATGGTTCATAATTCACATTTTTATCCATATTATTTGATGGAAAATTATGCAAAACAGTATCATGTTATCAACACATGTGAACATAAAAACAGCTAAAATCACAAACCAGTTTTGTCACCTATATAAAAAAGGAGTATTCTGCTAACAAATGTAGTAATTATAGATCAAATAATAGAAAAATTTGACCTGGAGAATGATTCTGAGACTTGTTTAAGAAAGCTCTTGCTTTTTCTTCAGGGAGTCTGACCTCTTGGGATGTTGTACTTTCTTTAACCACTTCTCAACCAACAATCTCTTTCCTTTCTTTCAGCTTTATTCTAAGAAGAGAAAGTTGGAGGAAGAAACTTAAGTTCATTAATCTCCTTCAAAATTATGAAGGTCATGAAAAATTAGAATCTTAGATTTAGTGGGAAGTCGGGAACTTATAAGTCTACAAAAATATTTGTCAAATTGATTTTTTTTTACCCAAAGTCTAAAAAGTTTAAGATTTAGTTTGATTATATATGAGCAGTCAGGTATACATGAACTCTTGTCTGCGCATTTATTGGATGAATATAATTTGGTTTCATTTCCTGAGAGTGAGTCCAGATAAGAATGAGCACATTGCCTGCTTTGTGCCTGGATTGCGTATATCTCTGTGAACTCAGTAAGATGAACTCAGAAAGATGAACAAAAGAGAAGGATAGAAAGAGAAGGATACAAGAAAAATGAATATTTATTTTGCTGAAATCTCTTACATATAACTTTGAAGACAAAATGGAACAAGTAGATACTGAAAAAAAAAGATTTTTGTTTCCCATATATAATGAGAATAAAATCTCATTATGCTTTTCTAATAGCAATTGACATATAGGTAGACTTTAGAATTGTTTTACTTACAACATGAAGTATATCTGAAATTATTATTCAAAATTCTTGTTCATAATTGTCAATTACATAATTTTAAAAAATAGTACATTTTAAGACATTATATTTTATTAAAATATTTTATTAAAATATTATCTTTAAAATATTACAAAACATATTGTAATATTTTAAATATTGACAAATCATTATGGGCAAGAATAACATCACATCTAAATAATAAGTACATGTCCTTAAACAAAATTTGAAAGAAAAAAAACAAGGTTAAAATATTTATTTTATGTCACACAATTATAATTAGTCTCTAAAAATGAAGGTTGTCTATCTACACTGCTCGAATTCATCCAATTATATCTTTAAATTTTACATAAGGTATATTTATCATTTCATGATTCAAGTTTCCACACATCTTGTATATTATCTGTGGTGTTTTTATGATATATCCCTATAATAATATCAAAATCTAACATATAATTTAAATACTGTCTCAATGATACATAAAACAAACAAACAAAAATCATGAAATGTCTCCAAAATACCGATACACTTGTGATTTAAATCACACCAACAATTTCAATTACTGTATCAAATCAATGCCAAATTCAATATATTACTACCTGCCCTTTGAAGATACTGAAATTATTTCTATTATTATAACAGTCAACCTGTCATTATCCCTACTTTAGAGATGAGAAACTGAGTCTTCAAGAGATAAATTGTGTTGCTGCTCATCCAACTATTAAATAGTCCCATATGGTTTGACTTCAAATGTGAATACATAATCTTCTCAGCCCAGCCCTAGTCTCCCTCTTCTTTTGTTTTGTTTATTGAAAAATGCAAGGCAGTGAGAGACACAATTCAACAATGCTACATTCAGAGGACCAGTTTTTAGATTAAGCCCCACAGGAAGTGTACATGTACCAGCATTAATTTATTAATTTGCTGCTTTTAAAGCTACGTTTAACATTTCTCTCCCTCTCCTCTTTTTTTTATTTGGTAAATATTATTACTACAATAAATCAGTGTGGAAAGTGGACTAAAAAACAAACACAATATATTGTTTATATTTCTTTCAGGAAAACATCCAGTGAAATGCAAAGGGCATCTTATTACAATTCCTATAATCAAAACAGTTGTTTTGCTCTACCTGCAGGGATTATGCAGCTATTATGTCTGACAGTGGACTTGGGTACATAGTCTTTTGTAGTTATTTTGCATTTTGACATTTCCACTAAGGACTTTTTTTATATGAAGAAATGAAAGCAAAAGACAGTTTTATCTTGTGAAGAGTTCTCAAATTTAAGAAAATTATGATATCAGGCAAATTGCCTCCTTAGGCTTCTTTCTTTTGGCTTGTGTATGCAGTTCAAAAATAACAATCACAAATTTGTGTTAACATTAAAATTGAGGAACTGATGTTCTGAATCAGATCTGCATCCATAGCATATTTCTTTTCTCTAATTTTTAATCAATTTGCTTGAGGCTCACCTTTATAACTGATATATCTTTACTTATAACAAAATCTTATGTAGTTATAGCAATTAAAAGATGTCTAATGACAGACTTTAATGAAGTAAAATATTCAAACTAAGATTAAATTTTTATAAATGAAATGTAATTAGAGTTTTAGAAAACACATATATAAAAAAGTTTCCTTTTTGACTTCATTAAAACAAATAACAAAAATATTTCATATAAACACAAAGAAAATAGACACAATAAAATTTCGTGGTTGTAAATATCACATTTTGAATGTCATATTTTTCATATTTTAACTAGAAATAATGAAAACATGCATTTATATGTAAAAGACAATTAAGTTTTCACTAACATAAAATTAACCCAGTCCTCAAAATTGTCAATTACATTTTTCTCACTCTCTCTCCATATAAATATGATACAGATCAACAGAATTATAATATAGGTAAATAGATATAGGTATGCAAATAAAGATAGACAATGATGTTTGATAATGTTACAGAACCCATATAGTGTTCTAAAATTACTTCAGCATCTATATGCAAATTAAATCTGTGTATAATTTTACATAGTTGCAACTGAATTTTTATCTATCATTTATAAAAATGGAGTTCAATAACAATAATATAAGTTTTGTTAAAATATGAATCTCTAAATTAAAATGTATTTGAAAATGTAAGAAAACTTAATTTTTTACCTTAATATAACTTTTGTCCTAAAATCCTTACTATATAGTTAATTTCAACAAAAAATTTCAAGTAATTGATAAACATTAATATTTATTATACTTCATAATTATATGATTTCTAATTTATGTAAGCACTTAATATTAGAAAATTATTTATCTAAAACAAAGGATACATAGACCTCATGATATTATATACTAGTCCACATGTTTTTAAGGTGTATTTATTATAGTTTAATATGAGTTATGAAAATATTTTTTATGAAAATGGTGAATTTCATATTTTAGGAAAAATGACCAGCAGAACAAATGTAATCCAGTCCCACAATAATAAATTGTCAAGAATAATTACTAAATAAAGTAAACCATTACTAGTCTATGGCACATAAAATCATGTACAAGATAACTGGGCTGTGAAATTACATACTAAAGAATTAGCATATTTTTACTTTTTCCAATTTAAATGGGATAAAAATTTAAAAATAATTTTTACCCCAAAACACTCACCTACTGTCAGCTGTCCAGTTAACTGCCCCATGTGATTTCTTGCATTCACTGTTACATTCCTGTCAGACTGTAAGACCAGTGGGCTATCCTGGGAAACATGTATAAAATAAATAAATCAAATAGAAGATATCACCATAGTCAAACACATATGAAATTATACTGTATTTCTGTGCAATCAAAATCCTGTTTTAAAATATTAGGTTTTTATATTTCAAACATTGGTTGAACAATACAAAAGAAATGAGTGCCTCATAGTAATTTCTATGTAGAACATTAATGTTTTTCTTTTTATCGGAGGGCATTAACTATAAGATGCAAGCATTTCCAACTCTACTGATTATTGTGAGTCAAAAGGAGAGCACCTCTCTTGTTTCTCTCTCCCAGTGGCATATGCTTCTGGCTGCACAGACATTCTATATCCAATCCCAATGGGGATGTCCCTTTTAAAGGTTTAACTTGCAATTTTCAGAACCAGATTGAAAAACAGACCCTTAAAATTACCTTATCTGATCACTGTCACTGTGGATTCCCTTAATCCTCAAATTTCAAAAATTCCGTATATTTTGTTTAAAGCCTGTAACACAGGACTAATTCATTTTACTGGTGTTGTGTTTGTTTTATTTCATTGTTTCTCTCCTTTTTTCCCACTTGATTATATAACAAGAGAAAACATCTATGTGACAAGGACCATGGCAGTCACATGTATACAGTTACATACCCAATACTTAATATACTGCTGAAGGAAAGCATTTGTTAGGGGTTTAATGGATGGCTAAAAAGTCTATATAAAAAATTGATATTCCCTTGTTCATATACCTCATGTGTAAATGCTCATGAATCATAGAATGATTTATATAAGAAGGTCTGGAGAAAATAAGATGCTTGCATAGGAGATTTTCTATTGGGTTATTTAATTCTGCTTAGTTATTGACTTGTATCACTAATTGAGCCCTTAATAGTAAAATTATTGAAAGGCAATCCCTAGGAGATTTTATATTGAGCTTTTGCCATCGTTTCCCTTACACAAATAACTTACAATTACCTATTCTTTCATTTTTTTATGCTAAAATATAAGTAGGGTAATCATTTACAAATTGTTCACTCATTCATACAATAAATATTTATTGAATACTCACTATGCACAATGTAGCTTTCTAGAGGTAGAGGCATTTTGGTGATCAAAATATAGAAAACTACCTGCCCTCATAGAACTGGCTTTTAGATATTGAAACTCTGTAAAAATCTCTCCTGATACCACCCTCACACTGGAGCACTCTAGTCACTTCTGCACTGATGCTGTTTATACAAGTGGTTTATATACAAACCATACAAAAAGTCCTTCAAGATGAGGATTTGGAATTTGTGATTGGATACACATAGGAAGATTTTATGGACTTTTTCCTAAAGCTACTCTGGGTCCTTATGACCAGATGCAAAGAGATCAGCAAAGACATGCATACACACACACACACACACACACACACACACACACACACACATTCATGCATATATTCTTGTGCCTACATGCACAATGCACACATTTTCTTTCAAAAGTGGATTTTGCCAGTATGCACCATCTAAGACTTGAGTTATAAAAGTAAGTTTCCATGGCATGAAGAGTATATTCATTCTTTCAATGCATTTGTGCTAAAAACAACTATAGTTAATGTTATTCTCTTCATGTATTTTATCACAACTCAGTTTCTTCTGCAACAAGTCAAAAGTTCTGTTTCTGCATTAAAAAAATTATCTAGTTTTTTTATAGGTTCATCTATATATATCTGACACTCAAGTTTTAAAATATCTGAAGTATTTTAAATTAATTCTATCATTCATTTTAAGTGATATGAAAATGCAAATTTCTGTTTACAGTAGAGATTGTTGACTAAGTAAGTACTGTTTGCAAACAGCTATCTTATACCCAGTAAGAACACTGCTATCTCTAATAAGGACATGAAGATGTTTTGTGAAGACACATAAACACACATAAAAGATTGTATTTAATGTTTGCAAAATCCAAGCAATTTTATAAAGTAGCTATAAATTCAATAAAATTTATCTGAATGTAAGAAATAAGAACTCTACAAAGCACCACATGGTTCAAAAACTTCTTTAAAAAATTATATTAATTAAATTTTAATTTATCTGCTTTCAATATTTAAATAGTAAAACATACATGACAGTTTAGATTTTTTAATTGATGAGGTTATATATTTTCATTTGAATTACTATACATATTAAACATAAATTTCTGTGAACTTCAGCAAAAATAACAGCAGAAACATCAGTATGTATAATTTACAAAATATGTAAGGATCTTACAAGAATTATTGCTATATTAAATATGTTAAGATCCAAGAAAAGTCAATTTTAAAAAGCAATAGGCCTTTCATCTGATTTAATAGAGAAACAGTCTTGGTTAGAATTGAAACTTTAATCACTGTGCTTCTTGTTTACATGATATCAATTCACTTTTACTCAAACCGTAGGGATCCTATTGAAGTTCTATCCCTGGCATGCTTCCCTTCTCTTTGACATTATTCCACTAAATTTCCTCTTGGAATTAAATTTTTATATCCAGATTAAAATTTTACTATGATAGCACTAGCAATCTCTTTACTTTCTAAAACTATAACAGAGCTATCAGTGATAATGAGAAATTCTCTACACTGTATTCATGCGAACAAAATTATATTATTATGCTATATTGATTTGTTAAAATGTGATCCACTGAATTGAACCAAAAACAAGTAACTGTGATAAACAAAGTCAATGCATATAACTGCATCACTTTCACTGACATGACATGTGGTCCTTTTGCATACACACACATGCACACACACACACACACACACGTATCTATCAACAGAATGATCTTAGAACCATATTTGATATTTGGGCCTTAGAACCATTGCTCATTTATCTTAGGTACAACACAATGACCTTTTATACAACAGGTACTCAATCCTAATCCAAACGCATGTATGTGATAAACTAAGTATAAAGAAAATGATAGCAACTTGAACAGTCATCTAATGCAGATATAATCCAAGGCAATGTGTAAGTTTGATACCAAACATATTTCTACAAGAATCAATACTAAAATACTATCACTAGCCAAAGATATTGATATCTAAAAATGTTTTTCCTAAAGAATTGAATACTCACTAGGCTTTTATCATGTGTTTATTTCTTTGAATGCCTCCATTGATAAAATTACCACTAATTTTATTACTTTCTACTATCTTTATATTCCTTCTTTATATTCACTTGTATTGTATTCCATGTGCCAAAACTTACAATGCTAGTATCTAGTTCTAACATTTAAAAATACATACTAGTACCCTCATATGGTTTTTCCTTGCTGAGAACATAAAGTGGAGAAAGCTATTTTGTGATATTTTGTCATGGAGTAGAGACAAGATGTGCAAGTTCTGTAAAGATAAGGTAAGTGAATAGTTGGCATGTTATTCTGCACAATATACTAGTAAAATTTAAAAATGTGTTTTTCTTTTTTATGGTGAAAAAAATCTATGTATTCAAATATCTATTTCCAAATCAAGAAATCCCCCATAACAGAAATAAAATATTCTAGAGTCTTCTGGAGCTGACAGCACTGTGGCTTTCATCCTAACAGCATTCCTGCCTACTTATGTACTCTTGAGAGAAAGCAGGCAGAAGAGTCAGTGGGAAGGCAGGGGTGGTATTCAGGGGCCCCTTTGTTCACATTTTTCATGTGGCCATGCCTGTCCCTTTGCTAGTGGTTATGGAAAAATTATGACCTGTGCTTTTCTTCTCCCCTTAATATTTTTGAGATAGGTTGTGCAAGTAATGAAGGAAAAATAATTCATCATATTTATATTTTCTCCACCTTTCTTTATCACAAATATTTCTTAAGTATCTATGATGTATCCAGCTCTCTGCAAGCCACTGCATGTCAAAGAGAATCAAGAAAGACAGACTTTCTTCTCTTAGGGAATTCAGAAACCGTTTGGCCACATAGATAATAAACAAGAAAGTTAAGCAAACAAAGAATGCTAGCAATAACAGGTTGCTGTGACAGAGATGTCTTTACAAACAAATTAGTTTTATTGATGAGATGACCTAAGTATTACAGGCATATAAGAAATTCAGTTCCAAGTCATTATTCTTGCCAGCTTACCTATTATGTCCTGGTAGAAATAGCAGTATAAAGAATAGCAGATAGCATTGCCACTTGTCAGTGACAGACATTCTAAATCATTTACATATATAAGTTCATCTACTTGTGAACCTAAACATATACCACCAGATAGGATCAATAATGAAGTGATAGAAAGACAAAGAATGGACCTTCCCTGGTTATTTGAGCCCATGTCCTTGGTCTGTCAAATACTAGCTGTTTGACTAGGCTAGTCACCCACATTTCTGTTCCACAGTTTCTTCATCAGTAAGATAGGGTTAAATACATAATTTGTGGGCTTGTTAAGAGAATTAATGAGACAAAATATATGAAATGCGTAGATCAGTGTCTAATCTGTGTTGGGAGTACTGTTAGTTTTGCTTTGTTACTTATTCCTCATTACAACTGTGGTGCTTCATTAATAATAGTAAAAGAAACAGTCTCTTCTGTTTTACAGCTGAAGAAACTGTAGCACTGAGAATTAAAGTCACTTCCAAATCACATAGCTAATAAAAGACAGAGACAATGTTAGAACACACCAATTTTTGTCTACTCTTCCCTGTCATCCACCCCTCATGAGATACTGACTCTCTTTGGGGTCATTTATTTGTAGGTTTTCTAAAATGTCTAAACAAAATCTAAAAATGAATAAAAATTAAATTCATCAGAATATACTTTAAAGTCTTGTTCAGTATTCCAGTCCCTAAAAGACAACCATACCCACAAATACACACACACACACACACCCCATATTGCCATCATTTATATTTTGATATCATAGCACAGTTTGCTCTGTTTTACTGTGTCTTCTCGGGTTTGAGATAAAGACGTTCTTATGCAATATCCTGCACTCTTATGCAATATCCTGCACTATCCTATATCTATGCATCTTAGAAGGTTGTAACCTATACAAATCATGTTAGTTA